AGTATGAATAGGGCATGGAGGGGTCACTGCATGATATGATGGGTTTGATATGTTATGGCATTCACAATCAAACTTCAATCTAAAGAAGACACTGGAATGAAATGTTGTGAAATTGTAATTCACAGGTTCTGGTGAGAAAGAATTGATAATCAAGTCCAGGAGCCTGGAGCTGCTCAATGACGTGCTGGTCAAAGTGTCCTATACTAGCACAGTCTACCATATCAACACTGGAGACCTTGGTCTGCATTGTCTGGGAACTCAGAGTCTTGTCTTTTAAGCCCAAATCTTATTTTTAGTGTACAATAAGTATTTTTTCTTTTTCTTTTTTTAGTAACTTTCCAGTTTGAAAACCATGAAGCTGTGTTCGCTATTGCCATCAAGCAGCCTCATGTACCAGTCCTGTATGACATGGGGACAGGTAGGAATCTACTTTTCAAACAAGGGTATTAAGAGAGAGAGAGAGAGAAATGCAGGAAAACCATGAATTTTATGAAGGTTCTTTCACAGTATATGCCAACCCAATTATTTCTTTGGTTTTATTTTGTATCTTACTACTAGTTAGTGGGAATAGTGTGTTGTTAAAATATTAAGTATCCTAAGTTAAATTCCCCTTCACAATTTTTTTTTCTTCCTTGTGGATTATTAAATCTATAACTCCTTTGGCTGAGTGCTTTGAAACCAGATGCAAAAAATAATGTGTTGTACAATCTCACCAGGTCTAACCTGGGGTCTGCTCTCAGTTTCGGGTTTCCATCCATCCATCCCATCCCAAAGCGGCGCCGGGTCATGGGGGCAGCAGCCTAAGCAGTGAACCCCAGACTTCCCTCTCCCTGTTCACATCCTCTAGCTTGCTAAGGGAGCGGCTAGCCAGCCTTAGCAAGCTAATTTCTGTCGCTTGGATCTGCTATCTCGTTCTTTCAGTTGCTAGACATAGCTTGCAATCATAGGTGAGGTTAGGGATGAAGATCGACTGGTAAATTGAAAGCTTCACTTTTACACTCAGCTCTCTCTTCACCACAACGGACCGCTACAGCGTCTGCCTCACTGCAGCCACAGCACCAATCCGTCTGTCAAAGATCCGAGATACTTAAACTCTTCTACTTGGGGCAGGAACTTGTCCCTGACCCGGGGTGGGCACTCCACTCTGTTCCGGCTGAGGATCATGGCCTCAAGATTTGGAGTTGCTGATTCTCATTTCCACTGCTTCACACTCGACCACAAACCACTCCAACGCGAGCTGGAGACCATCAGCCGATGAAGCCAACAGAACCACATCATCTGCGAAAAGCAGAGATGAGATTCTGAGACCACCCAAGCGAAAGCCCTCCAACTCTTAGCTACACCTAGAAATTCTGTCCATAAAAATTATGAATGGAATCTGTAACAAAGGGCGCAGCCCTGGCGGAGCCCATCATCCACCAGGAACGAGTCCGACTATGTGGACCAGGTTCTTGAAATGGCTATATAGGGATTGAATGGCCCGTAGCAATGGGCACGACAACCCATACTCCTGAAACACCTTCCGCAGGCCACTCCGAGGGACACGGTTGAATACTTTCTCCAGGTCCACAAACACATGTAGACTGGTTTGGCAAACTCCCATGCATCCTCAAGTCTCCTTGAGAGGGTAAAGAGCTCGTCCAGTGTTCCACAACTAGGGCGAGAACCCCATTGTTACTCCTGTATCTGAGGTTTGACTAACAGACAGACTCTCCTTTCCAGCACCCTGGCACAGACTTTCCCAGGAAGGCTGAGGAGGGTGATCCCCTTATATTTGAAAAACACCCTACTTAAAGATGGGAACCACCACCCCAGTCTGCCAATCCAGAGGTACTGCCCTTGAACTCAACGCACCATTGCCAAGACAGCCCTACAACATTCTGAGCTTTCAGCAACTCAGGGCGAACTTCATCCACCCCAGTGACCCTGCCACCAAGGGCCTGTTTAACTGCCTTAGTGAACTTGCCCCCTGAAATAGGTGAGTCGTCTCCCTCGTCCCTAGACTCTGCTTCCTTCACGGTGCCAGTGAGATTAAGCTGGTCCTCGAAGTATTCCTTCCGAAGTATTCTTTCCACTGCCCGAC